TATCTATCTATCTATCTATGTTTCCAGTGTCTTTCTCCCCACTTGGAACTAAACCCAGATGGACATTTCTTCCAACAGAGTGAATACAGATACTCACCAGATGGCAGCAAAGAGATACAGAAAATTCAGGCAAGATTTTTTGCAAGCCCAGATACAACGAGCATGCCGTGTGCATCCAGAAGGTCAAAGTCTTAATCCCTACCATTTCAACCTGAACATAGAACTGGTAATATAAAAACCAACCAACCAGCAAACCGTGCCTGAAACTCTGGAAACCAGCTCCGGGAGAATAAATAATGCCAAATATTTAGACTTGCTATGTAAAGCCACATAAAGCTTATTCATGCAGGGCATTTGGATAGCTTCCACCGAGCTTTTTGATGCTAGAACAATCATTGCCAAAAACATCACGCTGAGAACAACAGTTCAAACAGAATGAAAAAGCAATAACTAAGAAACAAACAAAAAAGCAAAGAAGCAATTACGTGGAGGAAGGGGGTGGTTTGAAACCCCAAATCTAGTTTAAGAAAATATACTGGCACTTGTTATATTGTTTATTTCATGTTTCTTATAGCCTGCCCAGCTCAGAGTATGGAGAAAAGAGTGTGCAGGCTGCTCATTTGCAAAATTGCAATCGTTTTAGTAAGCTTTCAGTAATAAAAGCCTTATTTTAATATACAGGTAGCCCACATTTAGTGACCATATCATTTAGTGACAGTTTATAGTTATGACAATAATGAAAAGGTAATTCTGCCACCTTGAGTTTTTTGAGTTTCGACCCTGCATAGCAAAAGAAAGCTGAAGGAAGATCCATGTGCAGTTGCAGTTTTATTCAGCAACTGCTTTATTTAACAATCAGGTTGCCAGTCCCAGTTGTAATTGCTAAATGAAGGCTACTTATAATTACTGAATAATTAAGGGTTCCTATGCACTCAAGGAGCTCAACAGAGAAGGTGTTTCTCTCTGGGGTTCAATCCTCAGCGTGCCATCTTTCCGTCAGACCTCAGAAGGCCAAGGATCCAGGCAATTATTCTGCACTGGGCATGGATTGTAACCGAAATGTGAAATCAACCCCAATATAGAGACAGGGCAAACATCTTTGCTCTCAGAGGCAGCTGTTTATTTGGTTTTGCTGAAGCTGTGTAAGCCACTGGCAGACTAACTGTAGANAGTTCAAAAGCACATAAAAAATGCAAGTAGAAAAATGAGAACCACCTTTGATGGGAAGGAAACAGTGTTCCGTGTGCCTTTGGCATTTAGTTATGCCGGCCACATGATAGTTACTTGACCCAGCTTCTGCTAACCTAGCAGTTCAAAAGCACATAAAAAATGCAAGTAGAAAAATAGGAACCACCTCTGGTGGGAAGGTAACAGCGTTCTGTGTGACTTCAGCATTGAATCATGCCGGCCACATGACCACAGAGAGGTCTTCGGACAGCGCTGGCTCTTCGGCTTTGAAATGGAGATGAGCACCGCCCCCTAGAGTCAGGAATGACTAGCACATATGTACGAAGGGAACCTTTACCTTACCTAGATTAATGAAAAGACTAGGGGTGACATCATAGCAGCCTCCCAATATTTGAGGGGTTGCCCCAAAGAAGGAGGAGTCAAGCTATTCTCCAAAGCACCAGAAGGCAGAACAAGAAGCAACGGGTGGAAACTGATCAAGGAAAGAAGCAACTTAGAACTACGGAGACATTTCCTGACAGTGAGAACAATTAATTGGTGGAACAACTTGCCTCCAGAAATTGTGAATGCTCCAAAACTGGAAGTTTTTAAGAAGAGATTGGACATCCCAAAGGTGCTTTTTCAAGAGCCAACTGGGCTTTCTGCTCTTTCTTTGAAGATATTTCGCATCTCAGATCTTCAAAGAAAAAAATCAGAAAATCCAGTTGCCTCTTGAAAAAACATCTGTGGAACAACCATGATCTAGATCAGTGTTTCTCAACCTTGGCAACTTGAAGATGTCCGGACTTCAACTCCCAGAATACCCCAGCCAGCGAATGCACTTGAAGGCCGGACAAGAAGCAATGGGTGGAAACTAATCAAGGTGAGAAGCAACCTAGAACTAAGGAGAAATTTCCTGACAGTCAGAACAATTAACCAGTGGAACAGAAGTTGCCTCCGGAACTTGTGGGTCCTCCAACATTGGAAGTCTTTAAGAAGATGTTGGACAACCATTTGTCTGAAACGATTCAGGATTTCCTGCCTGAGCAGAAGGTTGGACTAGAAGACCTCCAAGATCCCTTCCAACTCTGTTCATCTGTTTGCAAATTTGATGAACTCCACACCTATCCCCTTCATCTGAATCATTGATGAAGATACTGAAGGGTCCTGGGCCTAAGACAGAGCCTTGGGGTACCCTGCTCCAGGTGGAGGCAGTTTCATGGAGGACCCCACGTTGAGTGCGGTTGGTCAGCCAGTGGTGAATCCATCTGGTGGTGATGCTGCCTATCCCACATTTTTCTTCTTATCAAGTGATAGGTCGCACTTTACTTTGTCAAATGCAGTTCGGGCACTGTTCCTTGCATAACCTCTCGTGCCCGCAAGAGAAGAGTCTTTCTTTCAATGGCATGCCGCTATTTTGTCATTTGGATAAAAAGGATGGGTTTCGCAGACACCTCCGGGGATATATGTCTCTCTGCAAGGAAGACAAAGGGTAGGAGAGCAACTAGAAGATAAAGGAAGATAAAGACAAGGGTGGATTATTGCGTTACAAAACTGCATAGATGGGTTTCTTGGTTGAGTGCCACCCTAGGGAGATTTCGTCGTTTTGTTCTTTCCAAGCCAGTGCCAGTTTAGAAAGAAATAAGTAAAGAATTATCGTATTTTTTGGACTATAAGATGCACTGGAGTATAAGATGCACCAAGATTTTGAAGAGGCAAATTTAAAAAAAAAAGTTTTTGCACTCTGCAGACCTCCCCAAAATGGCCCGTTTTTTGCAAAAACAGGCCTGTTTTGTGTCCAAAAAAGGGCATGCATATCCTTTAGGAGGCTTATAAAGTGCTCCTGGGGGCTGTGGGGGGCACAAATGAGCAAAAAATGCCCCATTTTTCGCTCATTTTTGCCCTCCCCAGCCCCCAGGAGCATTCTATAAGCCTCCTAAAGCCTATGCACAGCCATTTTGCAAAAGGGGCGGGGCTTCAGGAGGCAAAAAATGCTGTATTTAGTGTATAAGACGCACCCAGATTTTCACCCTCTTTTTTGAGGGGAAAAAGGTGAGACTTATACTCTGAAAAATATGGTAAGTAAAGAATTAAGTAAGAAGAACAGGAGTGGTGTGGTGGCCTAGAGGTGGAGCTCTCGTCTCACAATCAGGAGGCTGTGAGTTCCATCCTAGGTAGAGGCAGTTATTTCTCTCACTCTGGGCACAATGAAATATATCTGCTGAACAAAACTCCGCATTGGCAATAGGAAGGGCATCTGGCCAGTAAACACTCAGCTCTGTTCAGTTGTCCAGACTCCACCCCAAAAAGGATTATGGGGTCGTTAAAAGATGATGATGACTCAGCAGGAGAACTTTCCAAAGTCTGAATAGACCAAGCATGTAGAAGAAGCCTAAAGAGGAATGATAAATAGAATAATAGAATGGAACCTTTATTGACAATAGAATAGAGTAAAAGAGAATAGAATAAAATAGAATAGAAGAATAGAATAGACTAAAAAAGAATAGAATAGACTAAAAAGAATAGAATAGAATAATAGAATGGAATCTTTANAACTTAGAACTGAGGAGGAATTTCCTGACAGTGAGAACAATTAATCAGTGGAACAGAAGTTGCCTCCAGAAGTTGTGAATGCTCCAACACTGGAGGATTTTAAGAAGAGATTGGACAGCCATCTGTCTGAAATGGCATAGGGTCTTCTGCTTGAGCAGGGGGTTGGACTATAAGACTTCCAAGGTCCCTTCTTCCTCTACTCTTGATTGATTGGATCTCAGCTAGGCATCTTCATTGCCTGCTCTTCACATGTCCTTGTACTGCAAATGCAGCCCACAATGAACTCCAGGCTGAGAGCTTCCTGACCGGGACACCTGAGGTGCATTGCCCTTCACCTGAACAACACCACCACCAGGGAAGGGATAGGTAGGAGCAAGTATGGGGTCTCCTGTTTTATCTCCTTGGAAATTACATATCAGTGCCAAGCCAGGTCAGGAGTGAAGGATGCTGGGAGCTGTAGTTCAACAAGGAGGCCAGCAAGTTTTTGTAAATGGATATGAACTTTCTTTCAGTTAGGCAAATTTGCCAGAGATAATCTGTAAAGTATTGTCTCTCCTTCCTTCCTTCCTTCCTTCCTTCCTTCCTTCCTTCCTTCCTTCCTTCCTTCCTTCCTTCCCTCCTTGTTCTCTTATTTTCCTTCCTTCCTTCTTTCCTTCCTTTCTATCTCCCTTCCTTCTTTCCTTTCCTTCCGTCCCTTCCCTCCTCCTCCTCTCTTCCCCCTTCCTTTTCCATTTCCCTTCTTCTGCTCTTTCTCCTTCTCTCTCTCCCTCCTTCCCACCCTCCCTGTTCTCTCGTTTTCCTTCCTTCCTATCTCCCTCCCTTCCCTTCCCTCCTCCTCCCTCTTCCATTTCCCTTCTCCTTCTGCTCTTTCTCCTTCCCTCTCTCTCCTTTCTTTGATCCTCCCCTCCCCTTGCTCCCCATTGACTCAATCTTTCAGGAAAGCAAAGTCACCCAGGACAATTCAGGAGCGCTGACGTCTATTGGAGACCCACCTCTCTCACCGACACAAAAACCTGCCATGTTCGGTGAAACCTGCCCTTTCATTCACTCACCTGCTCTGCCCCTCTGTTCACAGGTCCAGCTGTAGCTAATTGGGGAGGTTTCCTTTTGCCCCGTGCCAAAATCTGCAGGGAGGCAAGCGGTTTGAAAGCTTCCAACGGACAAATGAAAAGGATCCTTTGTCTGTTTTCCTCTCACAGGGACACAAAGAAAAGAACTCAACACACAAACACAAAAGAGGACTCTTTTGGCAGGTGTGCTAACATCGCTATTCAGAAATGTGGCTTTCTCCCTGCCCACATCAAGGCTTCTTCGGTCTTCCCGCATATATTTATTTAGTTATTTAACAAAAAGTGCTTTCTTTCCTCCCTGGTTGGGTGGGGATTAGACTAGAATAGAATAACAGAGTTGGAAGGGACCCCGGGAGGTCTTCTAGTCCTACCCCCTGTCCTGGCAGGAAACCCTACACCACTTTAGACAAATGGTTATCCAATCTCTTCTTTAAAACTTCCAGTGTTGGAGCATTCAAAACTTCTTACCCTGTTTCCCTGAAAATAAGACCTCCCGGATAATAAGCCCAATCGGGCTTTTGAGCGCATGGGCTAAAATAAGCCCTCCCTCCCAAAATATTGCAACACAACAGCAGCCATGCGGTGACCATGCTCACCGCTTCCTGCACCTCAAAAACAGTAAGACCTCCCCGAAAATAAGGCCAGACACTTATTTCGGGGGTCAAAAGAAAATATTTTTAGGGAAACAGGGTAGAAATACGCCTACCTGCTTTTTTTTTTTTTTAAAGAATACCCTGAGAAAGTGAGAATTTTGTATTTACAGATAAAGATAAAGGTTCCCAACTCTAGGGGGCAGTGCTCAT